AGGTATAAAGTTGCACGTTAGCATTCCGATGCGCAAGTCGCTTTATCATTGCAGCAACCGCATCTTTCGCGCTGTGAGTCCGGCCGAGTACAGTTAGTCTCTATAATAACGCCAGTGATACTGGCTTCATGCAGAGGTTCCAGAGTCATACCCCGTATCCTCACTGCCAACCTTATCACAAACATCCTTTACACCATCGATTGATCAGCAACAAGATAGTCTACGAAAATCGACGCAATTGTTCCGAGAGTTAGCGTACAAGAATAAATTCCCAATTTTCCGATGTCAAGTTCTCATCCGTCGCCTTGGCTATGGGAAGTTGATTAGTATATGTATCACCATGTTTAGGAACTATAAACTCGGAACAACACTCACCAACGGCATCGTCAAATGCATTTTGCTGTGCGCGGAACATGATTTGATCCCGCAGTTGAACCACCAAGGCGGGGGAGCCTCAAGGAAGATGGGGTGGTTAAGTGAGCCGCTGATGAGATGTATTCAAGCTGTCCTAGTCGATGAAAGGAGTATGGAGCGTACAAGATCGTACTTGAAGGCGAAACCAAAGATGACCGGCTGAATGAAAGCTTAAGACGATGCGGTTTGCAGGCAGGCAACCAAGTTTTTCAAGAGTGTGGCACACTTGGATGTCTGGGAAAGATCCGGGCTGGAAACGGCTGGGGAAATGGCAAGGGTGGGGAACAGCGAAGTTCAGTGGACAGGCTGTGCGGGATTCACGCGGTGATGTTCGCAAGGTAGTCCGTAGTGTGTTCCAAGAGGAACTTGTAGTTGATGATGAGGAAATGTTGTTGCGACTGTTTAATATGATTACATAACCTAACCGTCAAAGTTAGTTACAGTTAGATCTAACTTATAGATGAACATGCCGTTTTTTTCGAGAGCATGATCAACTTTTCTTGCCCCATTCAAGCTAACTTTCATTCACATGCGCATATACAGATCCTATTATCATCATGAGATCTAATAATGATGTAGTTGGGACTGCATCAGCAGCAGAGACATAGGTCTAGTGAAAATATGTAGTTATGATGAATTGATAAAAAAAAACTATGGATGTTCAACTGTGTCTCTAACCAAAATACCCGTCCACAATATTACTCTCATTATTGGGAATGAGCAGCAAATCATGAAGAATCAATACTACTGTCGATAAATGGAGAACGCCGCTATGGAATATATTGTGGATGAGGCTGTTATAGACAGGTGCAATAAGATCCTGGAAAACAACTCAAATATAAGAAACGTCTTATGAAGGCTCTATTAAGGATAACCAATGCATGTACGAAATGTTTCAGGCATGAGCACACCAAAATATATTTAGTCTATGCTCCTGGTGTTAGGTGGGATGGAATAAAAGTATGAAGACTGCAATTAGATGCATCCCTGAGTGGGTTGAAGGAGTAAGGGTTCAAAGCGGGAGGTTGATAGAGAAGGCGATATAGATAGGTATCTGCATCTTCTCGATAAGCTGGAACAGTCAAATGAATCCCTTTTTTGTTTTTTTATTGTAGTTGATAATTAAAACTAGACGCCATAAAGCCCACGTTATGTTCATAATCAAAGGATTCGAGATAAGAAAGAAAGGTGAGAAAGAAGTTGTAGATTTCTCAGGGGTGGGTGTGGGGAGTGACCATAAAAATAGACAGCAACGACCGAAAGTGAGAAAAGGATATGTTTATCTGGTCGGAATACAAGTAGGGGACACACCTTCATCCACCTCCATACTCTGGCATATCATCGTTCGTCAGTAAATTACATTCAAGCTGTGGCCCACATTTGGTGCAAATGGGCAGACAAGTGTGGAGACGACATGTAAGCGAAACACGTAAGAGTCAAAGTTTTAGATCAGCGCGTTCTATATTTGGGGTAGACCGCAGATAATTGTGCAGCGAAACAACACAGAATGTCGACAAGCAAAAGATTAACGTGGATATTCCATGCAGAAATTGGGCCATCTAAAATCATGAGCAGGACCTGGGGGCGTAAAATAGAAAGGCATAAGATGATGACATATAGATCAGAGATGGAAAATAATAAAGTAGTAATAAAGAAGGCATGGGTATCGGAGTTAAGGAGTGGAAGAGGAAGATGTTGAGCGTGGTTATTTTCCATCTGGTGTAAGGTTGGATTGTTCACAAGGGTCTTAAGAACTAGCCACCGCCTTTCTGGGCCTTCTCCTGGGCCCTGCTGATTCGGGCAGCTCTAACTAATGGCGCGAGGCTAGGAAGCGGCTCGCACAAGGACATGAAGTTGTGCTACGCGAGTTGAGTTAGCAATTGACGAATATTCGGCGAATATGGCACCAGAGCCGTCTATGGGAAAATCGCCCACCTTGAGCAAGTCATGCGCAGAAGCTCTTTTCTCCGGATCAACCCTCAACGCGAAATGCAAAAATTCTCGGAAAACTGGTGACAGGTTTTGCTCATCTTTAATAGTTGGGGTTCCATTTGTGGCGATAAGATAGAGAGCACGCAGCGGTGATTCGGTGAGATAAGGAGGCTCTCCTTCTATCATCTCAATCGCCATAATACCCAAGCTCCAGATATCGACTTTACGCCCGTATTCCTTGCGTGTGACAACTTCAGGGGCCATCCAATACGGAGTTCCAACCATGGTGTTGCGCTTGTTCTGCGAGTCGTTGATTTGAGCACAAAACCCAAAGTCGGCTAGTTATTTGTCAGCAATAGTAAATAATAAGGTCTAGGTAATTGAAGACTTACTGAGTTTGATGTTGCCATCCAGGGAGAGAAGGATATTATCAGATTTAATATCTCGATGGATAACACCTTTCGAATGGAGGTGTTGTAGGCCGTTGAGAGTCTACTTTAATTAGTACCGCTATTTGGCGTTCTGCCCGCCACGGGCCGGGGAGGGGGGGGGGAATGATGTATCCGGGCCATACCTCTCTACACACTGCCGCAATCTGGCCCTCTGTCATAATGTTGAAGGTAACAACATCGGTCAAACTCCCTCCCTCCATATATTCCATTATGACCCAGAGGTCGCCTCCATGTAAAAAGCTGTCCATAAAATTGACGATGTTTTTGTGCTTGCTGTCTTTCATCACCAGAATCTCATTGATGATAAGATCTTTCTTTGGTTGAAGTTCAAGGTTCATTTGTTTGATCGCCACACATTTGTTGGTCCCGTTCTCATAAGCGGTGTAGACGCCACCGGATGCACCCTGTCCAATTTTATTCAAATTCCTATACTTACGGGTCGGATCACCACTAGAGCATATCGCGTTGAGCCGGGCCTTGATATCAAACCCATTGTTCTGACGGGTTCGCTGACGCGGTCGGGGAGATGGACCAAGGTGACCCTGCTGTTGCTGGTGCGGTGTCTGCTGTATTGCTGGTGCCTTTTGGGGAAAGTGTTGTTGAGGTGTTGGGGGTGTGAACTGCTGGTGTTCAGGCCTCGACGACGACGGATTTGTTAAACCGGTTGATGGTTGGTGCTGTTGTTGAATAGGAGGAGGAACATGTTGCCGATGCATGCGCGGTGGCTGCGATTGGGATTGTGGCCCTTGCTGTTGGCGTTGGCTTCTTGAACGCTCCAGCTGTTTATTGGAAATGGCATGTTGAGCGGCAGTAATGGCTTGTTCCTGAAGCTGCTGATATTGAGCGGGAGACGTAACTTGTGCCGGGACGTTTCTTCCAAGGCTTGCCTCATTGGCATTCGAATTAGATCGACTGGGGCGGGTTTCTAGGGGCAATTGGCTAGATTCTGGGGCTGGTCGTGTCGTAAATGACTGCGTAGGTAACTCCTGCACCGGCCGATTTGACCCATTGACGCTTTCCTTTGAAATAGGGGGTGGGGGGGCAGGTCGAACAGGAACCAAGTTATTAGTTGGCACAACTGGGGGTTTGGGAGCGGCACGGTTTGGCACTCTACTAGACAGGGATGGACTTTTGTTGGGGGAGAGGGGGTTGGCGCCAGATGAGGAGCGCGGGATTGGTGGCGGTGCTCTGGGATTTTCAAAGCTCCCCTCATGGTTCTGAGGGAATCTTGGACTGGTGGGGGGCGAGTTTATGGGGTGTAGTGGTGTAGTATAGGAGCTGGGGCCCAGAGCGCCGGGGGACCCTTTTGAAGCAGGACCAGTGTCATTATGCTCGTGGGCCACTGCATGGTCAAACTTGTGCCAGACCTCGTCTTCATCCCGGCCACCAGCGGTTTTCTCGTAAAATTTCATGATATCTACCATGGTTTGTGGATGCTGTTCTTGTTCCTTCCTCGAAATACCGCTCTCCTGCAGCATACGTTGCCAGTCTTTGGGCAAACCCTAACGGCAAACCAAAAGAGCTTGTTAGTTCAATAACTTTGATAACAAGACTACATAATATCAACCGACACTGAAGCCTTTATAGTCCTAATCGAAAAACAGAAACGGAGGGGAACAAAAAAAAAAAAAAAGAAAATTGCATAGGAGCAGTAAAAGAAGAAGTGTGAAGAAGATACCGTAAATTGACCTGTTTCATTATCATATCCAACATGGGTGACATGAACAGGATTTTCGGGCGCTGAGATTTTGATGTTTCGAGGAGAGCCTAGCATGCTGTTCATGAAGTTGGAGAACCCCGTTTTACGTCTACTCAAACCTAGCCTGCCACCGCCGCCGCCACCACCTCCGCTCTCATCAGAATATCGCTTTGACGATGAAATGTTCGCGCCATCTTCAGCGGGAGGGGTAGGGGAGGGATCCATGGGTTGTGGGGCGGATGTGAAGCTGGCAGACTCTCTCAGGGAGGGCTTTGAGGATCCGGGGCCAGGGCTAGTGTTGTAAGAGGGGAGGAGAGGTGGACGACGGCTAGACTGGGGTTCGTCGCCTGGGCTGGATGAATCGAGGGCGTTGAGCATAGTCCGCGCGTCGAAAGCGCTTCCTATGAAATCATCGGAACTTCGATCGGTAAAGGAAAGACGATGGGGATATTGAGGGCGGGGATGGATAGAGGTGTTGGACAAAGACGGGCCAAAGTCGTTTGTAGGAGCTGTGGTGAGGACTGGTGATTGGTGAGCGCTGTGCTGATCGAGAGAAGAGGAGGAGGAACCGAAGGCGTCGTTGGATTTGGTTCGGAGGTGTTCACGGCTAGAACCAGCGTGGGAGCGGGGATAGACTGGGGCAGAAGGGTGTCGTCGAAGAGATGTGGCGCTTGGTTGTTTCTTAAGAGACCAGGAACTGGAAGATAGTTGATGGGGATGTTTGTGAAGTTTGGTGGAAGGACGTCGTTGTTGTTTGAGAGGAGGGGGGTTTGCTTGGTCCATAGTTATCCCTGGGATCAAGGATCGAAAGCGCCCGACCGCGGCCACGACAGCAGCGACAGTAATGTAATGACAACGAACAGGACCAACAACCAGACCACGACGACTGAAGCCGCCGCGAGAGAATAGCAGGCAGAAGAGGGCGAAGAGACAAAATCACCGAGAGTAGCAATTGGCAGAGAGCGAAAAGACGAAAGACGGTAAGAAAGTACGAAGAAGGGATTGGGAGGAGTGTAGTGTGTGGCGGCAACAAGCAGCAACTGAAGGGGGTTACGAGATGGGATCGATCGAGGGAAGAGAGAAGCAGAGAGAAAGAGAGGGAGAGAAAATAGTTTTAGATCGCAAGCCACCACCACGATAGGATAGAGAGGGAAACTGGCTTGACTGGCAACAACCTAATAGCTGTTCGTTTTCGTGGGAGGGAGCCAACCTCTCTCTCTCTGCACCCTACCCTACCCTACCCTGGGGTAATTAAAACTTTTAGTTAAAAGACTCTGGTGAAAAAAAAAAAAAAAAAAAAGCAAGGCGTGGGGTGGGATTGGTGAAAGAGATACCAGGGGAATAGGAGAAAGAAGGATGAGTAACTATGTAAATAATAATAATAATAGGTAAATAGGTAAATAGGTAAATAGGGAACGAAAGCGATACGATACGCTGCAGTGGAATTGGAAACGCAGGCTTGAGCGTTGCTGTGCTGTGCTGGAGTTGCGCAGCGAATGCGACGGGGGGAAGAAGAAGAAGAAGAGATTTGTTTCGTTGAATGGTTGGTTGTGAGGAATAATAATAATGAGTAGCGGAGGGAAGGGGATGGTTTGGTTTGCTGCGATATACTTGGTACCGTACATGTATGTGTGTTATGTGTGTATGTGTACATGTACAGTACATGTACAATACCAAACAAGTATAGTCCAATACAGTACAGTCCTATACAATATCATACAATACGAAAACAGTTATAATGTATAATGCAAGTAGAATCTTCCCGACAAATGGTGGTGGTACGGTACGGTACCACATAAGTACAGTACATGTATGTATTGTACACATACAGTACAGTACCTTCCTCGTTATAGGCGTGTTGTCGCGCGCCCTGAACGAGACTCGAACAGCGGGTAATACCGTACGCGTGGCCATAAAACATTATTATTATTATTCCCCGCGGGTAACCACAGACGCTTTGTTTACATTCTTATTCTTATTATTATTATTATTACAGATCGATCGCATGGTTAAACTTAATAAGTTAAACTACTTATTACTATCCATGGAGGGATCCATCTTTGACCGGCGAGGCGTGACGTGACGGATGTTCAACAAAAAAGAAGCTATTCTGCTTCGCCTTTATGCTGGATGCATGTTTCCTTTGCTACCTTAGGCCATTGTCAGCTGTGTGAGTGTGTAGTATGGTGGTTTCATCTCATAAATAGCTCCGGGGAGGCCCGAGAGCGCGATGATGAGTATTTGTGTTAGGTTAGTTTAACACTGCAATGTGCGTGGTGTGTTTTATAATTATTATAAAGAGATGGGATGGAAACCACGCCAAATTTCACTGCCCTGTATTCGGTACTATGACGACCAACAGCTTCATCATACGGAGTACAAGAGCCTACCTACCCTACCCTGCACAGGCGTTTTGATCTCTTCGGCTTGAACCCATCGTGTCATATCTATCCTATCTTGCGTGTTTTTGCTGGCTATACTCCGTACATGAGGATCAAATGCGTCGTTGTGGCCAGGGAAATCACTGTCAGCAGCATAATTTGAGCCTCCAAAGGGTTGATTTCAATATTCGAGAAAGGTCCTGGCGCTGGGCGCAACCAAGGTTTTTTTAATCTGTAATCTTATTATATTAAAAGATAAAAAAAAAAGACAAAAAGATTAATAAAAGAGTAATGGTACCAAAGTTTTTTGCCACACGCACGACTTGGACTACACTAACCACGATGTACAATAATGTGCAGTAACTACAAGTACATGTACATGTACATATACAGTAAACCATACGAAAATGAAGCCATGAGAAGATTAATTGAACCGCTCTTCCACTGCACCGCACTGGCTGTCGGTTTGTCCAGATTTGCCAGGGCTTGCCAGGCCTTAACTAGACGTTAATGAGTAGTTACTACTATTAAAGTTAAGTTATGCTGAAAAATAAAGTCTTCGACAATTAAACATAGGAAGTTAGTAGAAAAGTTAAACTGGTTAACTTAAATATAACTACGGAGTACGTCACGAATTGGGGTAATAATAATAATAGATGATTTGTGTTGCCAGAAGAGGGTCTGGTCTCTCTCGGTCTCTACAGTCAGTCAATACCTGTGTAATTGACTGATTCATCTTATTAGTTATTAAATACGCTGTACGGAGTAACTAACTACTCCGTAGTGAGAAGAAAGATCTCTGCTGAACGAGGTACTTCCCCATGGAAGTGTGGATATTTGTATCCATTCAATAGATAACCTCTTAAACTGTTGCATGCGATCAGAAGAACTTCCAGTAATAAAGGGTATTATTGTTAAAGGGCGCTATGAACATCGGTATCTATTTCCAGCTTCAAAGTCCGTACGGAGTACATAATACATAATAATACTGCGTACATACGCAGTAATAACTAATAAGTAGTAACTAAGTAATTAATGGGTCACTATAACGTGATAGATAAGTCTAATGCCCAATGCGGCTAGCTCTTTGCGAACTGCAACGTTGCCTCCAAGTCCAAAGGTTGAACGACGAACTTCTTCGAAACCTCGACATCCGAACCTCAAACCAACATCTTCGAAAAACAAGCAAAGAAGCGAGGAAAGCCGCTCAATTGCACGTCGACGTCCTATTCCCCAATTCACTTCGAACAGCATTCGCTATCTTCTAGCCTCTCATCGTTACCCGCCAGTTTGGATCCGTTTTTGGTGTCCGTGATGGAGTGATCAATTCGCTTTTCCCTCCCTCCTCCTTCCGTCTCTCTCGTGCTCTCCCGACTCCGCGGTCCATTTGCCTCTCTTCAATTTCATTTTAGCTACTTCAATTCAGTACATATTGCTTGTTTCTGCTTTGGAATTGGTTATATCGACCTGCCTTACAGTATGTGTCCCTACAAACATTCCCCAGCTTGAAATCCCAGCTTCCTCTTTTCTTCTTTCTTTTCTTCTTTCTTTTCTCTTTTACCGCATCTTTTATTGTTTCTGGCCCAGCAAGTGGTGATTGCATGCATTAATAGCAATCAACAGTTTCTCTTTTTTTTTTTTTTTTTTTTTGGTGAACCGCATAAGTCTATAGTTTGAGCCTTACTCGTTTCGAATCTCTCCCTGTCAATCCAGTATGAGTGCCCACATGCTCGAACCCACCGCCAATGGAACCACCACGGTGAGCTCCAAGTCGCCAGCCGCCCTCCTTAAAGAACAACACACCCGTGACGACTCTCACAAGGTCACTGTGGAAGATGTACCCGATGAGTATGATATCCAGCATCCGTCGCCGTCTGGTCCCGCTACGCAAGCCCCTGTAGAGTCCTTGGAACCCAGCCCAAGTGTCCCTAAGACTTCTGCGGCTGTCGAGAAGCCGTCTATGGACTCGGTTTCCTCTGTTACCACCGCCAACTCCGCTACCCAAAAGGCTCCGACTTTTGATGTGCAGTCTGAGGAGTTGTTTCCTGCATTGGGTGGAGCGCCAAATTCCCGCACCGCTACAGCTGTTCCAATGGCATGGGGTGCGAGGAAATCAGCAGGTCGAAATCCACCTACTGCCAACGGCTCGTCGAACCGGGGGCATCCGCCATCGCAGTTTTCGAGTAACGCTTCCTCACGTACGCCAACACCAGCTCCCGGTTTGGTCACATCTAATTCCATGACGGCCACATCGAGTGGTGGCGCTCTGGGAGGCCCAAAGATTATGACCATGCCAGGCAAGCATGTCGAGAGAATTCGTTTCGCTCCTTCGCAGATGCTCCCACGGAGCCAGTTGAAGAAACCTATAAGGGATATCCTTCGCGATACTAGTAGGAGATTCAAGGCCGTTGTGGACATGTATAACGGCCCTGGGGAATCCATCATTTTCGAAGGCAAGGGATCCGTGGACGCTGTTCGCCAGGCACTCAAGGAAGTGGCCCAACAGGTTGGTTCCAAGGTATGTGGATTTCTAAAATACCCCTTTCCATGCCCCGCGTTATGTGTCCCCCAGCTGACCACAAGGGGAAAAAAAATCCTGCTCATAAAAGCAATCCGTGCTCGTGCCAATTCCGGCGTCAGCTAGACCTCATATCATTGGCCGGCAAGGAGTGGTTGTGCAGGGAATTCATGACCGAACCGGTGCTCGAATTAATGTCCCCAGGCCAGAAGGGCCGTCACTTGCCGACGATGATGATAGTGTTACAATAGATGTTCGCATTGAAGGGGATGCTGTGGCCGCAGAAATGGCAAGAAGGGAAATAGAGACGATCGTGAAGGAACGGTCGTTTAATATCAACCTGCGCCTAAAAAGCATTGCACCTGAACTTTTCCCTTTCATTGCCGGCGCCCACAATATACATTTGCAGCAACTTGAAGAGCGTACGAAGGCACAGATTCGAATTCCGCACTATGACACATGGTCACGCCCCCCTCCCTCTGAGGCGGCCCAAGGCCAAATTAAATTTTCCCCTGATCCTGACAAGTACATTCAAATTTCTGGCGAGCGGAGTGCCGCACAAGAAGCCCGCGCCGAAATTGAGAGACGTGCCGATGAATTACAGCGACAAATCACCGTACGACAGCTGGCAATCAATCGAGGACAGCATCAGTTTATTTTGGGCGGCGTCAACGATTCATTGCACGAATTCTTAGCCCAGACGGGCTGCTCGATAGTGCTACCACCCGCAAGTGACGATACAGAGTTTTTGACTATCACAGGGCCCCCTGACCAAATCGAATTCGGAATTAATCGTGCCATGGACCTGGCCACTAGCATGCAAATGGCCAGTATTGATGTATCTAGGCAGCACCCAACAGCGCCCGTTGGCGCCCATGTCCACGCTCGAGCTCTTACTTCCTACTTAAAGCAGCGACAAGCTATTAAGGAGCTAGAGAGGCTATATGATGCCCACATTGTTCTCCCCTCGTCGTCAGATGGCCCTGTTACCTGGGAAGTCTACTCGAGAGACGGGAAAAACACCATCCGAGCACGATCCGATATTACCAACCTGATCCAGGCGCATCCTCCATCTAAACTTGCGCCATTACCCATTGACCCTTTCTTCCACTCCTATCTTCGCACCCGCATTGGGCCCCAACTGAAGGATAATTTTGGTGTACACTTAGTTCTACCAGATGACCCAGATAGTACCAATGTTGTACTCGTATACGAAGGAGAGACATGGGTCGCAGGAGTAGACGACCTCCCGAAACGTCGTCCGTTGCCTAATGAACTGGAGGTATTTGACAAGGCATTAGCGGAGGCAAAGAACCATCTTTTGATGTCTTTGGGGGATCAACACAACATCTGCACTAAAATAGTCATGGTTCCACTGAAGTATGTTTTTCCTCCATATTACGCGCGCAATACATTTTCCCATTTCACTTCTCTTTAATGGATCCTTAGATTTGCATAGTCTTACTCATCTATCAACTAGGTATCACGATAAACTCCGCAAATTCATTAACCGAGAACAACAAGCCAAAGGAGAGGAGTACATCCCTATCCGCGTTAGTGCGGCCGGAGAACAGATACAACTTCGTGGCCGTACTTCCGATGTCGAAGAACTCGCCTCTAAAGTCGAAGGTTTCGTTTTAGAGCAACAAAAGGACGATTTAGAGAGGGGTTACACTACCTCCTTCGATTTTCCACAAAAGTATGCAAATTTCCTTATTGGTAAAAGGGGCGAAAATATCAATAATCTCCGAGAGGAATTCGACGTTGACATCAAGGTGGAAAATGGCAAAGTCGAGGTCAAAGGCCCGAAAATCAAGGCGGATGGGTGTAGAGCCCGGATTATTGCACTGGGAAAAAAGTTAGAGGATGAGACTACCTTCGTGTTGAAGATCCCTCAGCAGTATCATCGCGATTTGATCGGACAAAAGGGCAGTCAGGTTAACCGCCTTCAAGACCGGTATAATGTTCGAGTCCAGTTCCCTCGAGTCTCCAATCTTCCCACAAACGACGACCAATCCGTTGCCGACACCACAAGCGAAATGGGGGCGAACCGAAACGTTCGTCCTACCCAGGCCACTGACGAGATTGTCGTTCGTGGCCCTCGTAAGGGTGCAGAAGGGGCTCGGGAGGAAATTCTTAGCCTCTACCAGTGGGTCGTGGACCACTCTCACGTGGATTCCGTGTCCGTCTCACAGAGCCAAATTCCTATGTTAATCGGCCAACGAGGCCGTGAAATGGATAGACTACGGGCAGATACCGGCGCTCAGATCGATGTCCCTAGTGCCAACGACCCTTCAGATGCGGCTGGGAGGGTGACTATTAATCTCAAAGGGACGAAAAAACAAGTTGCAGACGCGAAGAAGTTATTGCTTCAGCGAGCGCAAGAGTTCGATTCAACTGTTGTCAAAACCATCGATGTAGACAAAAAGCACCACAAGGCGTTGATCGGTGGTGGCGGTTAGTACCCAACCTGTGTTTCTCTCGAAAAGTCATTATTAGCTAACTTTCAACAGGTGCGACTATTCGGAAGATTGTAAGTGATGCTGGTGGGCCGAGCGATGGGAGTGCAGCCCGGATGGTGAAATTTCCCCCCCCGGGTAGTGACGAGTCCGTTATTCGTCTGGAAGGAAACTCCGCAGTTATAGAAAGAATCGTTGCAGCAATCGAAGATTTCGTTCGAGAGAAGAACGACCAGATCGTAACATCTATTGATGTTCCCCAAGCACAACATAGATTTTTAATTGGTCGGGGTGGAGAAACTAGACGGAACATAGAGAGCCAGTTTAAGATCACTCTTGACATACCAAAACAAGGGTCTGGCCGCACTGACATTAAGATCAGAGGATCAAGTGATGCAGTTCACCAGGCGAAAGCTCACATCCAATCTCTTATCAAAGAGCAGCATGCCGACAGCATCCTGGTGCCAGTTAATTTGCATCATGCGATTGCTGACAATGGCCTCTTGTTTCGCCGGCTCCGAAACGAATATCAAGTGAGCGTTGACCATGCGGGGCATCAAATCCCGCCACGTCCTTCTCCTGTCGACTCTCGCAACGGAATTAACGGTCAGAACGGTTCTCTCCCCTTGATTACAGATGATCCTCACACCACCGCTGCCACGCATTCCTGGAAAATAGTGGACGTGGACCCTAGCGAATCAGCCCAGTCGAATTTGCCGAAGGCCATTCCCTGGGTTTTTTCAGGCACTCCAGACAATGTCGCAAAGGCAAAATCAATTGTCGAAATGTCTCTCCAGACAGCACCGCAACACTCTGCCACTGGATATTTGATCCTTCCAGACCCTAAAACTTATCGATTGGTTATCGGACCCGGTGGCAGCACAATCAACGAGATTCGCAAACAAACGAGCTGTAGGATCAACGTGCCAAAGAACCAGGCGCAAGGCGAGGCTATTGAGATCAAGGGACCAAGGGCTAGTCTGGAACCAGCTAAGGACATGATCTTGGAGGCTGTACTAGGCGGTGGCGCCAGAGGCAATGGATCCTACCGTTAATCATTGCGGGGAGGTTTCGAATATGTATGTACACTTACTTATACACCGACGCGCAGAAAGAACTTTGGAGAGGCAGATAAGACGAAGGTTAGAACCACTTACGTAGGCAAAGTTGATGTAGTTGTGGTAATCTCAACATCACGAGAATCAAAATTTCCTTTATCATTAGCGAAGAATCTGATATGTAGTTTCCAATGACAGCCCTCTATAGTGAATATCTACGAGCTGTGTGACTTTGTCTTTGATTTGAGTATTCTTGATAATGCATCGAGCAATTATTGCCGCTGCTGATATGGAGAACCTTCCCCCTTTTCCTATTCCAGGGGCAAGCAATTAGCTGACCGTCATGCCTTCGCTTGGCCTTGAGCATTACGATGCCCTTTAGGCGTAAGACATTGAACGTCTGTACTATCTGGAAACTCCCCCGTTTATAAACTCGGCTGTCGATATTTTGGGGTATGGTGGGAGTTTTTTGCAGAAGTAAGTTATGCCACTTCCCTTTCGTAAAACAAGTCTACAGCCGATTGCCGTCAGCATCTTAACAACTGCTGCACATCTTCTCTCAACTCTAAATTCTCCAACAAAGCAGGGAGCTGTACTTCAACAGCCCCGAGGCTAACATTTGTTCATCAATCGCGTCGGACTCTGCAAGCCGATTTACAATCCTCATGTAAGCTAGCTCGCATTGAAACACGCTTTCTAGGCTTTGCTGAGAGGAGTCCCTCTCCTCTCACACGGTCTCGGACTTCCTATCACCAAGAGAGACTGAGAACGGCCGAATAACAATGACCTCGCCCGAGTGTTAGCATCGAAGATGTTCGCGTCCACGAGACCGCACCCACGATCAATGGTGAAACTTCTCTTTGGTCACTCTTCTCGCCATGGCGACCGGAAGAATCTTCATGTAAGAGTAATTTTTTATTTTTATTTTTTCTTTTTTGGACCAATTGACAATGACAATCCGAGATAGGTTACGTCATCATCATCACGTGAATCCCATCCCCAGTTTCAGGCTTAGATGTTATCTCAGCGGGCTCAGACCTCTGGCTCGGTTTGAACGGGTTGCAGCATTATTATTAACTAATCCGGCATGACACTAACCTACTTTTGATACAAGTCATGTGCTCAGAGCAATTCTCACCAGAGGGTCTGAGAAGAAATGATTCCATCTTCAATGAAGATTTCTGAGATTTATAAGAATTTTTCAGATTCTTTAACTTTGACTTTCTATTACTATATATTCACATATCTTTGAGATTTGAAAATCATCTTAGCTTATAGCTAAAGAGAAGAAGAATAGAAATATTTCTTTAATATTTTAAAAAAATCTATATTTAAGATAGATGTATACTCTTAAAAATAATTATATTTTTTAATCTCAGAATTTCTAAGAGCTTTTTTTTATATGAGAAATTGAATCAAAATTCCTGTGTTCAAAAACATACTAGTCAACTTTGAGATGATACTTCTATTCTAAGAACTTGAGATATGAATATAAAAATCAGATACATCACAAGAATATTATTATTCTAAGGTTTTAAGATAATACAGTGTAAGAATAAGTGCTCGCAGGCGATTATTCAGGTGTTTACAGCTTGGCGTGATATGTACTGTTAACTACTAGAAGTATTCATGATAGAAAGATAAAATGTAAAGATTAAATATATAATAGTATTCAAGCTGAGTTGTGAATAGTATTCACAAACTTCAGTCTATATAGTTGTGTATAGTTAAGAGCTGCTAGCTCTATTAATTATATAAGAGATAGAAATAGAGATAAAGAATCTGTAAGAAGTGAGATTTCTTATATACTTCTCTCTCTCTAAGACTTCATCTGCAAAGTCTTTCACTGAGTGACTTTATAGAATCAGCTCAGCACTGCAGTGAATTCACACCTGATCTTCAGATCAGCAGTTAATTTCATGTCTCTTTCAGACCAGTCTCTGACTCTAAGCAGTGCAGTTTCTTTCTTTGCTGAAAGTCTTCTTATAAGTAATTTCTTATAGACTCTAGTTAATAGTTCTTATAAAGCTTCTGATATTATCAGTGTCTTCTACAGCTCTGCAGGCCTATAATCATCTTCTCTCTGCTCACACAATCTCTGATCAGATATATGCAAATATGTCTAGGTTTCTCATCAATGATTCTCATGTCACAGCACATTTTCACAATTTCATTGTCAATGAGAGATGAGTCTCTGAATACCTGCAAAATCTGAATAATCAAGACAATGTGAATGCTATGAATTTATAATAGAAGTTAATCTGAGCAGATGAGCTCTCTCTCTGTGTCTTAATTGTTTTCAGACTGAATACTTCAGCATAACTGAGAGAGTGAATATAGCTTTGTAAGAAGTATCTGATCACATACACAGATAATCAGTTCTTAAGACTCTGCTATAACTGTGTATATTCTAGTGTTCAACTCTTCTGAAGTCTGTGCATTTCTGACAGTCTTTGTATCAAATGCAATAATTGTCTGTACTACAGATATAATACTCTCTGCTTCTTTAAAGAAGAAAATTAATAGTTATGAGAGAATTGAGTATTACAGATGATAAGAATGTGAGTTTGAGTTTTCTTTATTTTTTCTTTATTAATCTTCAAATTGTGTTCACAGTTCTGTTTGTTTTCTTATTTTTTAACTTTAATAAGAATATGATTTCTTCTTTTCTTGTATATACTGCAGACTGTTCATTCTAGTAGAAACTCATTATCTTATAGACTAGAATTTATAAATAACAGTATTAATATCTTTATTATAATCAGATTCTTAGTGAAGATTACATTATTCTAACTTATCAGAATTTATAATATGAAAGTCATGTCTCAGCTTCTGCAGATGTCTTATCTATCTGAATGATTTTCAAGTGAACTCATTCATCTTGTCAGAATACTCTTGTTACTGAACCTTGAATCAGAGCTTGTAATCTCACTTCTCTGAGTTAATAATCTCTTTAATCTGATATTCTCTTTTACTCTTTAGTGTTTCATAGATAGAGTAATGAGTCATAGAATTCTCTTCTAAGAATTTCTTATATTCACAGAGTAAAGAGACATAAAAAACATTGTATATTTGTAACTTAGATAACAGTTTTAATCTGTAGAACTATAAGCTAACTTTCTTCACAATCTTATAAGACTCTGTTTATAAGAGATTTAGCTTCTTACTAGATCTCTGTGTAATAATATTTTCTAGACTCAGTCAGACTCTATCATCTTTCTTAAAACTTTTTATAATATACTTGAAGTCATAGTATCTCTTCTGATACTCTTGAGTCTTTCTCAAGAATTCACAGACTTTCTCTCAAATCTTCTGAATTCTCTCAGTCTGTTTATGAGCATCATCACACTTTATAGTGTACTCTCACAGATCTATCAAGATTATCTGTGAATAAGTCTCAGTGAGTATCTTAAAGAGAGTTTTACCTGTGCTGATATACTTTGAGTTGTTGTATATAAACTTCATAAGTGATAATCAATATATTTAGTTATTCTGATTGTAATTGACAAAGCACTGCAGATACTGTTTTAATATACTTATTAGATATTCTGTCTGATCATCTGTCTGTTGATGAAAAGCTGTGCTTAGATCTCACAAGATCTTCAGTATAGTTATCAGATCAGATCAGAACTCTTCTGTAAAGATTGATTCTCTATCTGAGACAATGTTCATAGACAACTCATGCAACTGAATCATATTGTGAATGAAGATGTAAGTTAAATTCTTTAACTTCAAGTTCTTGCAGATGAGTATAAAGTGTGTTATCTTGATAAAGTAATTCACTATCATCAGCACACTGTCAAAGCAGGTATTATATATGTTCTTGCTTTCAGAGAGACTTATAAGAGCATTCATTTCTAGCTGTTTTCAAGATTTCTGTGAAATGAGTAGAGAAGTAAGTTCTTCATATAATCTGAATCACACTATTCATGAATTCTGATAAATAGTATAAGAATTCACTATCTTCTTCACAAGTTCTCATATCTTCAGTCAGAAGTATTTTCTTATAAGCAACTCATGAGTTCTAGTGTCTGTAAAATGACCTGCTAGAGAAGAGTCATGATGTCTTTTAATAAGTTCTATATATAGAAACTTATTTACAGGTATATAAATTCAGCTCTCTCTTTGCAAGAGACTATTTAAGTCTCTTCAATTCTTTATTTCTGCAGAGTTAATCTCTGCTATAAGTAGTTTCTAAATATACTGAGCATATTCATTCTTCAGTTGCAGTTCAGACAATCTGAATAGAAGATCTTATAAAGACTTATACTCTGTTTCTTCTTATATCAGATCTTTCACAGTGCTTCTCAAAGCCTGCAAACTCTTCAGATTATAGATACTCTCTTCAAGAATTCTCACAGAGATTCTCAGAGTGTTGACTCTCAGTGTTGTAGAGAGTAGTTGCACAGACTTCTTTTCTCTCTTCTCTCTCTTCTCTTATAAGAGATTGAGAGACTCTTCAGTCAATCTCTTTACAACACTCAGTCTGAGTATCTTATAAAGCTTTTCTATCTTCTCTAGTCTCTCTGTATCTGTTACTTTGATCTTCTTAATATAGTCTGATCTATGAGAGAATCTGTCTGCTGAGTTCTTAGTTCTCTTAATATGTTCTATTTTAAACTAGAACTCACTCAGTCTCTGAGCTCAGTAAATCTATCACTGTAAGAGTTTCTGAATTGAAGTAAACTGTTGTAAGCTGTTATAATCAGTTCTAACAGTAATCACTGTTAAACTGACCGTGTGACCGTGTCTGGGACCAGAATTAAACTTTACAGTTGTCATGTTATCTAAAAGTATTACTTCTAATCATAGTTTGTGTTCATTACATTGATTTCAAATCTCATTATTTTAAATATTAAAGGTCTCAGATTCACTTTTCAAATAAAAATCTAGTCTCAGATAAAGAATATGTTTGAATTCTTAGTCACATTTTCATTCTGATCTCATTATTGAAAATGACATCAAATGAAATCATAAAATCATTTCTTACTTACATAATATCATAACATAGTGCTCATTTGTTGAAAATTCAATAGAGAGTGTTATCAAATATTATTACTTTTCTGAACACAGATTATAATTAATATCATTTTAATTAAAAAAAAAAATGTAAAATATAAAAAATAATAAAAAAATAAAAAATAAAACAACAAGAAAAAATCACAACAAAAAAAAAAAAAAAAAAAGAGAAAGAAAAAAAGAAGAGAAAGAAAAAGACAGAAAGAGAAAGAAAAAAAAAAAAAAAAGAAAAGAAAAAGAAAAAAACAAAAAATAAAAACAAAAAAAAATCAAGATTACAGAGTCACAGTATCTCTA